CTCTCTCTCTCTCTCTCTCTCTCTCTCTCTCTCTCTCTCTCTCTCTCTCTCACACACACACACACACACACTCACGGTCTTGGTAACTCAAAACGGCCAAAAAATGCCAGATAGAACCTTGTAATCCTAAGGTAGCGATTTTCTGGAAGAACGCATGTCCCAATTGGCAACATCTGCCCACCGGATATGACCACCGCTCCGGACAGGCGCACAAGAAACAAAGACTCGCAGTATCTATTAGGAGACGTCTCCGACCGAGATAGACCAATCAAAATGCTTTGTGCCCCTAGACCAAGTAAAAACATCTGGGAGGTTACAGAACAGCCCTGTTTTAACAAATAATTTGATATTTTGCTGTTAGATTTGACATTTTCTTGAAATTAATTGATTTGTGAACAGTTTTTGTGGCTATACGTGTGATCAACAGCAAATGATACGCAGTTTGACCCCCCCCCCCAATCCAAAGCAGTGCATCTGTGTTGCGGGAGTACGTCTCCGAATAGTTCCTGGGTGTTCGCCGGAGACGTCTCCGAATATCTTCTGCCACAAAGACTTGTAGATTCGCCCTGTGACCTCAGCAGACAGGACTAGCTCTGTGCTTGTGTTGAGGCAGCAGCAGCTGCGACTTCTGTTGTATGTCCAGACTTTTATTATTAATTTCTACGCCGATAGGAACCTGTTTTTGGGCTTGTTTTATTTTATTTCATTTTTACAGAGGCTCTTTACTTGGGAAGGAAGCAGGTTGAACTAAATGTAATAAATGAAAAAATGAATGAATGAATGAATGAATGAATGAATGAATGAATAAATAAATAAATAAATAAATTAATGAATGAATTAATAAACAAATTACACTTTAAAAAATTAATATGTAAACAAACAACTATACAAACAAATAAGAAGGTGACCTCTGAAAGCATTATAATCGAGTCTGTCGAATGTCTGAAATACCTTCAGATAAATTCCCCAAAAGGTAAGAAAAAAGCTCCTTCCCCCTTTCAAAAACGGGAAGACGTAAAATCGTAGAGGAACTTGGTGCCATGTCTGTGTTGACAACAATGGTACAAAAACCAGAATTCGTTGTGTCGGTGGGTGGGGGATGTAAAACACCTACATTTAAAAACCTAACTAAACAAAAAAACAAAAAAACAAAACAACCCCAGATGAAATTTGAGTCCAAATGTTCACACAGTTCTCCTCCCCCCTACCCCTTCACCCAAATCCCCTTTTAACTTCAAGATCCAAAAACAAAAAAAGAAAATTAAATAACAATGGTGTGAGAGTGTGTGCATGCGCGCGCGCGTGTTTGTTTGTGTGTGTGTGTGTGTGTGTGCGTGCGTGTATGTGTGTGTGTGTGTTTGTGTGTGTGTTCGTGTTGTGCGTGTGGGGTGG